GCTTTTCTTAGATTTATTTGTTTTTTCTTTGCATAGAGCTCCTTCTCTTTGCGGTGCTATTGGAGTTGGAAATACAATCGAAACACATCCTGGGGATCATGTTGCTGCTTTAGTTCCTGAGCCCGATATGTCATCTGACTCAAGCAGTTTTTCAGAAAGTTGGATACTAGCCGAAGTTGTTTCATATAACCGAGATAAAAAAGCGTTTCAAGTCGAAGATGTGGACGCTGAGGAAGGCAAAGTGTAGGTTTTATTACTTTTTCGTAAGTGAATAGGTTCTAAAGACTCATATGTTTTATTACATCCGTTTGTTCCATTTTTTGCACACATCTACTTGAGACCTGTATAACTCGAGCGCAAATAATTAAAAAGTAAATCTACCTTTTCTGTTTAAAGGGGTTCCATTGAAATCCGCAGGATCATTAAAAATATTACACATTTTAAGGACTATCCTTCTTCGAATATTAAACGATTGCTTTGATAGCTCGACTAGAAAATGGCAAAGATGTATATCGCTGATCTTAATAACTTTCACATGCAATCATATTTACCGGGGTTAAATAAGCAGAAGCATACAGAATCCTCATTTAACACTTAATTACGCACACGTCTGTGAAATGATAACCTAAGAGCCGATTTCGTCTCATTACCATTGGTTGCTGTCCTTGGTATGTTTAGCTAAGTCTGTCATCCTTCATACTTTGACCCATATTCGATATTGCCTTCTTTTTCATCTTAGAAAATATTGACAACCTTGCTGAAAACCCTAGTAATTACGCCTTGGAGTTGTGTTTGTAATCCATGGAATTTTGATCAGAGAGTGGCATATTTTCTGGGAGTATATTTTGAGAATATCAATAATTCCTTAATAAGACTTTCATCACACTGAGTTACTCAGTAGTCTAAGGGCTAATCGAGTTTTCCCATAATTATGAGTAAGCCTCGCGATGCCATTGCCTTCCAAAAGACTTTTATTCAGAGTACTCGTTTCGCTGCCAGGTTGTACATTGTGGCTACAATATCACTCATTTACATGACCACTTTTTCCAGTGAGCCACAGGGCAGAACTGACATGCTTATTAGTTCTTTTCATACTCTGTGTG